GCAGTTGTTTGCTATCTGTGGAACTGTGTGCTGTATAGGGACAGTGCTAAAGACAGTTGTTCACAGTGGCTCATGTCCTGATCATCTCTGACCCCATTTTCATCGTTATCTGATTTTTATGTTTGTTAGTTAAATTATTAATCGAAATACATGCAATTCATTCATGACCATTTAGTTAACTGATTTAAATGGAGAGTGGTATAGATTGTGCCTTTAAGAGATTTGGGAGTGGCACATATCAAAAAGGGAACTGGCTGGCTCCATTTGTAGGGCAGGCAGTGTAATTCCTGAAACGCTACAATAAAGGTCTGTTTGTTTGAGCTTTCTGAGGTCTGTCTTTGTGTTAGCTGCCTTTGCCTGACAGCAAACCAAGGGCGTTACAAAGTTAATGTTTGCATATGTAAATACTAGCAATAGGCAAAAGTAACCAATTAAATGTATATATGTTGTGATATAACATGTTGTTATCCACTATGATTGGTTCTAGGAAATCTCCAGAGATTTCCATACTATGGTCTCACACATGGGGCTTATATCTGTGCTAGTGGTATTCTCATGTCCGGTATCTTTTCACTGCTGAACACTGAGCCAATCACTGTACCAAGTGTCCCAAACGCTGTCCCAGTCTTCTCCCCACCGCATTTCAAAAATCCATTTATAGAGAAGTTTTCAGCAGTTCTTATCCGTGTGGTCATCCATATCAGATTTCATATTTACATCATTTCATTTCCCAGTGACCTAGCTCTGTTGAGTTCCTCTCAACCTCTCTGATCATTACCCTACATAGTTTTTAAGTTCACCAAAATTTCATTTCTTAGAGGTTGTTAAACCCTAATAAGTCTATCCTTTGGTTACCAGTACATAGTAATAGTGTTTTGCATATATGCAATACCTATCACAGGTGAACTATACCACAAAAAACATCCAAGGAAGCATTACTGAGATGCAGTCACTTCAGAGGTGGTACCAACTGATACAGAATACTCTAGTGTGAGGATGAAAAATTTCTTTTTCCCAAAACAAGAAGACAAATCTCTATGGTTACAAATAGTGCCCTGATTACTTAAGTCAATGCAGGGCAGTGAGAATCACATTTTCTATCATCTCAACCAGAAAAGGCCTTATCCTATAAATTGCATAGAACTCAACTTTCTCTCTCAGGAGCATGTAAGGCTGAAGAGACTGCCAGGACCTGAGCCTGAAAACCAGTTTAAGCACTGAAAAACTGATGTTTAAACCATTACTCTACTGTAACAAGACTGGATTTTTAACCTGCCATTTCTCTTTTCCTTTAATTTGCCATTGAAGCATGATGATCTCTGAGGCTGAATGGCATCTTTAATAAGAAATGTCACTGTCTGAGTAAAAAGAAAACACATTGCTCAAGCTTTGCTTATTTATTTATTTATTTTGCTAATTTATAGGAACATAGACTGGACATCGAGTCATTCGATTGTGAGAAACTACTCAAAGATGTAAAGTTGAAATCCTTAAACTACTTACAGTAAAAGGAACCCAAACCAGTGGGAATACAGATTTGGTACTTCCTGGAGTTAGCCAGTGTTTGTCTCCTTCAATGATTTATTTTATGAAAATTCTTAAGAGGTGAGCAGGAGTGCAATTCAGAGGCTTCAAAAAAAGTGAAATAAAGTAGATGTACCAACATTTGCCAAATGCAAATTTACTGAAACCCAGAGATTGGGGGTACAGTCCCACCTGCTCTGAAAATAGCAGAACCAGCTAACTCACCAAAAAAGTTAATGTCCGTGAGCATGAATTTGACCCGGGTCTTTTAAAACATTTTAAATGAACTTTTGTGAGGCCATAATTTGCAAAAGGTAGAAGCTACCTTATTAGAGTGTCAAAGTGCAGATGTACAGGATGATTTGGGACATGTTGAGCTATACACAAGAGCCAACCTGAATGCTGTTTCAGGTAACGCTTGTATGCCATAATACAAAAATATTTTAACAACAACCATTTGAAAGCATAACGATCTATTAGTATTATAATTATTATGCTTTTTATAATTATTGACCTCTATACCCAGTGTAAACCAGCATATCCACACTGTTTAATGGGATAGCAATTTTTCCATCTAGTCTGGCCCTGACATATGGATTGAGATCCGAGTCCCTATCTTGTAAGCTGCTCCATGCAGAGATACTCTTATACTTACGACCCACTGGGTGCATCCACGCAAGTGCACCTGTGCACTTTGTGGCACCTCAGGGGGTTTTGAGGTGCTGCAAAACACACGCTGTACACATGATTTGATTCTCTGTGCTGCAGAGACTCCAGGTAAGGCTGCTGGGGCCAGCCCAAGTGCTCACCCCAACCAGCTGGGACAATTTGCCCTGCACCAGAGTGCATGTGCAGGGATGTTCCCCAATAATAAAAAGGATATGTGCCACTGCTAGCTGTCTCTGGGGCAGCGCATGTGCGTGCTCATCTGGATGCACCCACTAAAGGCAACAGGATGCCAACTACATGGGATAGACAAGATTTGGGTCTTAAGGAAAGAGAGTGGTCATTTAGTGACAGAGGAGGCTTGTAGGAGCTTGCTGTAACTGCACTGCCTGTATTTCAAAGGAACATCTCCCATAGCAGTTGACTAGTGACCTATCACTAATACCCAGCGTTGCCAATTCCAAGCATTCAAAAAATCCTAAGTCAGGCATCTAGCTGTCTAGCTCTCTTATCCCCCCCACCCCCGATTGTTTTAAAAATCATCATAAATAAATTTAGTACTCATTTTTATCATATTTTGGTTTTGGAGCCTGTAGGGTAAACTTGGGGTGCATTTTAAGCCTTATTCTTTAACAACAAAATCTAGAAAAATACTTTATATTTTAAATGAAAGCTGAGATTCCCATCTGCTCACAGGAATCCAGGAACTAGGTCCTGAAGAAAGAAATAAATCAGCTATTGAGAGACTCTGTTTCAATTAAACTTAGCAAGATTGCTTAGTCACTAAGGAGCTACTAAAGAGCTTTTCTGATCAAGCTGGAATTTTCAAGCACTGCAATAAAAACATTTTCTACCACAAATAAAACATTGTGGGAGGATGACTGAAAGCTTTGCCCTATTTATTTTCCCCCTATGCAGTTTCCTCTTATTTCCTTGAAATGACATTTCAAGTGGTGCAATTTGAAGACATTGCCATCCTGCCAGCATGCTGAATGTATTGGCAGAAACGAGAATGTGAACCTGTAGTTCTCAACTACAGTGCTATGGCACTCTGGGGTGCCTTGACATCCTTTCATGAATGCCACGGGGTGCTGCACAATATTACCACTGTTGTATGTGGAAACATGATTCACAAGATAAACCCAGAGATTGCATATAGGAATCTACAGTGTAAAAATGCTTCTGATCTGTTGTGGCCTTTCTGAGTTCTTTGCAACGGAAGAATTGCTCTATTATTTTTCTTTAGCCAAAAACTAGCGAAAACTAAGAGCTGGCGTTTTCTGAAGGGCATCTCACATCTAAAGGGAGGGCCTTGGTTCTAAAAAAAGGCTGAGAACCACTGATGTAAACCAGCAGTTCTCAACCAAGGTGCTGTGGGATCCTTTTAAGGGGGTTGCACAGTATTAGCACCTACATGATCTGCAGGAGATCTCAAAGAGGAATCCACAGTGTCAATCATGTTCTGCCCAGGTGTGGCCTTTCCCAGTTCTTTGCACCAGAAGCATTGCTGTTCTTTTTTCCGCAGGCAGGAAAAGAGTGAGAAGCTCAGCGCTGGCATTTCCTGAGCACTACCTTGAGGGTAGGGAGGGGAACATTAATAAACAAAAACAAAAAACCAGGTTGAGAACTGCTGGCCTAAACCCTTTTGCAGTGAAATTGCCTGGGGGGATTGAGTGCAAGTTTGCTGAGAGCCACTGCCCCTTCCCTTGCAGTAGCTACTGGCAGACATTGTTGGATGGGGTTGTGTCAGTGGCAGAAGCTTGGGCTCTGGGGGGCCGCTCCCATCCTTTGCTGGGAGCCCCCTGGAACGGAGGCTGAGTTTCAGCACGCATGGCTGTGGCAGGTTGCAGACAGGCTCCCGTCTTCCGCAGCAGCTTGGGGCAGCTGTGCGTGAGCGCCGGGTATGTATGCCCACCTGTGTGCATGCAGATGTGCACCTGCATGTGTGTATGCCTCTGTGTATGTGTGCACCTATGAGTGTGCCTGCCTGTGTGTGCACCTGTGCGTGTGTGCACCTGCCTATGAGTATATGTGCCTATTTGTGTGCACCTGCCTGTGAGCACACTGCATGCCTGCCTGTGAGTGTGTGTGCACCTGTGCATATATGTGCCTATGTTTGCGCGCCTGCATGAATATGTCCGTGCGCCTGTGGGCGCCTGCCTGTGTGTGTGCGCGCGTTTGCCAGAGTATGCTTGTAAATGCGCGCACCGGTACGAATGTGCGTGTGTGCCCGTGTGTATGTTTACATGTGACTATGCGTGTGCGTCTGCCTGTGAGCGTGTGTGTGTGAGAATGTGTGCGCGCCTCTGTGTGCGCACCTGCCTGGGAGCGTGCGCACCTGCCTGCCTGCGCGCGCGCGTGAGCGTGC